AGCAGCAGCAGCAGCAGCAGCTGGTGCTGCATTGTTTGCTTGTTGAAACATGCAGAATAAGAAGATGTTAATTCATTTGTTTGTGTTATCTCCTGAGTGCTGCACCGAGTTTACTTTTTTTTGCTGCTGCTTCTTCTTTCTTTTTTTGTTTGTCTATGAGGTCTTGTTTTGCTTTTCTTGCTGCCTCTACACTCCTAATAAATGTTGAAATCTGTTTGTAAAATTCATCCGGCTTTATTTTCTTTTTATCTTTTTCAGGATAACCCAAATAATTCACAGCGACAGTAAACTCGTTCAAAGTCTGAAGGAAGAACAAACAAAAATATATATAAATATATATAAATATATAAATATATAAATATATAAATATAAATATATACATCTATTTCAGTTATTATTATTTTGTTCTTTATATTATTTGTTATCTTACTCTTTTTATTCTGCTTAATATCTGATATTATTTATTATATTATTTGCTTTATTATTATTTTACTCTCTATTTCATTCGTTATTTTATTTATTGTCCTTTTCAATAAATATATCGATATACATCTACATGCATAAACCCTCTCTTTTTTAATTAAGATCAAACACATAAATGAATAAATATATATAAATATATAAATATATATATATATATATATACAAACAAGCACATATAAATATATAAATAAATAAATAGATATAAACAAACAGAAAAAAAAGACTAAAATAATAGAAAAATGAATACAAATAAAAGCAAATAAGCAAATAGGCTAAACATATAAAGAGCAAATAAGTAGAAGAGCAAGAGTACGTAGATAAACAAAACTAAAGAAAAACAAATAGATAAACTTACGTCCTTCATAAACCCTTCTAACTCTCCAACCTTCGGCTCTGCTTCCTGAACAAACTGATCCATTATTGTCGCTAAAGGATCTTTCTCTCCGAGTACACCCGAAGCTTCATTTCCTTTTCTTGCTGCTTCTACTGTTGTCTTCACCTTTGTTAAACCTGTTCATTAACCATTTATACACATCAACGCATCAATCAATATTGTAAACGTAAATATATATATATATATATATATATATTACATATATATTTATTTAATATATATATATATATATATGTATATATGGTGTTGTCTTTACATTTATTAAACCTATTAATTGTGCATTTAAATATATATATATATATATATATATATATATTTATATTAATATTACAAATAACAGCCGAAATGTATATGTAAACATATCAATAGACAGACATAATATGCATAAATATATATATATATATACATATATATACATATACATATATATATATATAATGTATGCATATATACATTTATATGTTGTCTTAAGATAAATAACAAACAGTATAAATAACAAATAATATAAATAAAGAGCAATATAAATAGCAAAAAAACTAAAAAATAAATCAAATACTTAAAAATATAATTCTTTCTTTCTTTCTTTCTTTATTATTTATTTATTTATTTATTTATCTATTTATTTATTTATTTATTTATTTATTTATTAATTAATTAATTAATTAATTAATTTATTTAACCTTGTTTTAAATTGAGTATTTTTCCTTCGACTGCACCAACATCAAATTTTTGGGCCTTTTCACAAATTTTCAGCTCGCCGTAGATATTCAATATTTCGGGGTTTTGCTCCCAGATAATCTAATTAAAAAGACAGATAAACAAATATAAATAAAGTATATAATTAATAAAGAATAATATGTATAGTAGAGAGCAGAGAAAAATACGAATAACGATATGTAATTATATACACAAACGCAAATATAATACGTAATCGAAGTAATGACAAATAAACAAATAAGTATAAACAAATATAAATAAATATAAATAAATAGAAATAAATAGAAATAAATAGAAATAAATAGAAATGAAAATAGAATTTATAAAAAGGAGAGAAATATATGAATGGTGAGAGTCATCATCAAAATCAGCAGCAGCAGCAGCAGCAGCAACAGCAGCAACATGAGTAGCAGCAGCAGCATGAGCATGAGCAGCACCATTATCATCAACAGCAGCATGGTCATCATCATCATCATCAGCAGCAGCAGCAGCAACATGAGCAGCATCATCATCATCATCATCAGCAGCAGCAGCAGAAAAGAAAATAATGAAAACAATAGAAATTCTTGTATTTACATCGCAGAGATATTGAAGAAGAGTTCTGAAGGGCTTGGTGGTAGAGCGTAATTCGTTTAATTTTGGTAGAGTAGAGGGTTTAAAGCCTTGTGCATTGCCTCTCTGAGGGTCACCTTCATTAAGCATATTTCCTATCTCTAGAACAGCAAAACAAATGCTTTTGAGATGTTTACACTGCCGGACAGCTTCATTAGAATCGGCTAAACATTCTAATGGGTTATATGCATCTCTGTAATTCTCTGAAAAGTTTAACGCAAACAAATGACTCTCTAATCTATTCTTCATCAAAGGAACGCCTATCAAAGATGCTACAAATTGCTCAGGTCTGTC